AGCGGTTGGAATGCGAAGTGGACTGGGATACTATATTGTGCTGGCCTCGGACGCTTCCCGGCACCTTGGCCATCATCCCTTGCTTCGAGGAACTCAACGGAATACCCTATGATAACACTCGTAAGTATATATATGTTACTTTTATGTATAACCGGTGTCAGAATGATTGAAGATACTTTTCAAAAGCGAAGCTACATAGCTTAATGATCAATATAATGGTTAAAAAATATGCTGAAAAAAAAAAATACTTAATTTAAAAGAAAATGAAATTTTGCAAGGAGACATTTCTTAAAAATAAAGGTATCTTCTCTTAAGATAAACCGCACGTGTATTTTCAATTCGTTTCCAGATAAAAAGTTCAGAATCCATTTGATACGCGCTACATCGCATCAAGATGAGATCTCTCGTGTTTCTAGAACGGAACGTGATCGCATTTTTATTTTAATCCAAAATGTCAACATTTCGAAACAACGCCAAATACAAACAACGTTTGTATTATCATATAAGGTGTTCCAATAACTTTCCGTCGCGCAGTCTCGAGAAACATATAATCAGAAATACGATTGAATATTTCAGAATAATATTAGAATGTTTCAACCTGTAGTACATAGTTATGATGTGTAAATACATCTTTCTTTCTTTTATTTTTTGGTATAATATTTTTATCAAAATTTTTTTAAGGCCAAACCTTCTTTCAAGTGGAACCCACTGTACAAATATTATGTTAAAAGCGATTATCTTGGAATTACTAATTTTCTGCTTCTCACATGTAGATTTCTTATCAAACGTAATTATATAGTTTGATTTTGCACGTGAGATCCTGCGTTTAAAATTATTGCTGATCGATCTTCAGCTTAGTTGACTGGATTAAGATCTTATTTTGATGCAGACGCAGGCATCCTTTATTTGATCGAAGTTCGTCAGTAAATTAACTGATATTACCTACTTGAAGTAGGATCTACAAATCGAGTTTCAATCTAGATTTGATTAAAGCGAGCTTCTATTGGCAAAGTTTAATTAAAGTTTTCTAAACTAAAAAAGTACTTTTGTTCAGTAACGCATAAATATTTAACGATATTTGACGGAGATAGCCGCAAACTTTCTTCTTGCAAAATTTGTCCAATCCTGGAGGATTAGAAAGATATTCTATCTAGTTGTGCAAAAATATTTTATATTTTTTTCTACTATTTGTATGATATATTTCTATGTGTTTTTTGTAGATTATTTTATTTAAATAGATAAATCCTTTTAAAATTTAGACTTAGAAATCTTTTTGATTAAACAGTGAATATTCCATCATAAATTCCATCAAAAGTCAGGTGTGCATTTTTTCGTAATGAACTATATAAATTCAGACATCACTTCTTCCATCAGTCTGTTGACTTTAAAGAGCAGATTATTTCGGGATTCCCAGACATTTTTTTAATACTCATTTGGCCATGATAGACGTCTGGAAATAGAATGGCCGGAAATAAAGGGAAGGAGGGCTAGGACGGTACGAAACTCGTAAAATATAAAAATCTTCTCTTCGTTCTCTACGAGTTGAATGCAGCGACTGGAAACGGAGAATTAAGGCCGGTAACGACGACCAAGACTTGACGAGGCAATACAAAGTTTTAATTTGGCTCTGATTCCAGCCAATAAAATCCGCCCAACTTTGTCATTCCTTTATTGGATTTAAAACGAAAGCAATTTGAAGTTTTCTTTTTTATATGTAGATGAAACGCGTGTTGATCCCTTGAACGATTTGTTTCTTGCGATATCTTTTTATATCGAGAAGGATGATAACTTTTCAAATCTAGAGGAATTATTCTCTTGCTTTGTAATTAATGTAATCGTCGTATTAAATAATTTTAATCAAAAACAATGATGATTATATAATCGCCTCTTAAGCTATTTTGAACTAAATTATCCCCGAGAAAAGAAATTAGATTACCTTCCATTAATGTGAGGGAAAAACAATCAAGGATTAAGTTGTGCGGTTTATCCTCTACGTAATGCAGGTCGTAAAACAGTCAAATAAAATGTTGTGCTAACAAATTGCGAAGGAGATCAGACGGTAAAGCGAAGGCTTTGGAAATATCAGTTTTAATTAAAGTGGTAGTCCACAAGCATACTGTTTGCTTTTTCCTTAGATGTAAACTTTGATAGCTCGCTCTATCTATCTGAATCGATCTATTCGCCATCTTGTAGTTGATACTATATAATTTTCATTTAGTTTTCCATCTCTATCTCATAGCGCTTAAAATTTAGACGAGGATGACATGATTGATATAGAGTCTCAAAATAACCGAAATGCAAGGCAATATAAAACGTGAGCAAAAAAAATGGATTCAGATTTTGTTGCTCCGCAAATCATACACGGGGTGTTGTGTAACGAATGTATTTGCATAATGTAAAATGTTTTTTTATCCAACTCCGAAAAAAATTTCTCTCCGTAACTCATAAGATTGTAATCATTTCTATTTCCTAAAAATTAAAAAAATATATTGTTATTAGAATTATTATGCGTGTCATAATTAATAATCTAAGCAAAACTTTTACTTTTTTTTTAATGTGTGATATAGGAAAAAATTTAAAGGAAAAATTTATCCATGATTAAAATCACATTATATTTACGATACGATCTTTACTCTAAAAATAGAACGCTGGTCATTAACGGATGAAAATGAAGACAACACACTAATAGCTGCATAATAACAAGGCGTTCACGATAAAATGACTAACTAAACACAACCTCGTCCCGACTAAAGCAAATAATAGCTTTTTAGCATGAGGGGACAAAGCTTATCGCGAGTATCGAAGAAGTCTCAGTCAATACCGAGTAATATATCGCGGCTTGTAAAAAGGGGAGTCTTTGACACGACTAATATATAACAAGGTACAGGACGAGGAAATCCATAAAATGAGGGCTACACGCGCTCGCGTATTTCATAGGGATATTGAATATCAATTCATGCTATATTGGACGGTCGCATTCCGATATGTATTGAACGATTATATCGCGGTTTCAGTGACGGATTCATCGGGTTTATCTATCTAAATCGGGATTATCTATTTAAATCGGGTTATTTATAACATCGATCCTCCAAGAATCCTCAATCTAATTACGAATTGCATTTTCAAATGAAATATTTTTCATTAAATTTATTTTTTGACCTGATACTTTTGTCTCCTTCCTCTTTATATATATATATAATCTAATTACAGGATATCTTTAAAAGTCATTTTTGCTAATTACTGGATTACATTTCTGACTTTTTAAAAACATGCTAAAAAAAATTGCCGTAGAAAATTTCTTAAGATTATTTTCAGAACAATCGCAATTCTAATCTGATTAAAACAGAAAAGCTTTCTCTCCTTTTTCACGGAAAAAGTGGAGCAATTAGATGCACTATAGGATATTACGTATTGCCCTGTAAAATTTCCAGGATGGAAACATCAATTAGATTTTTAACACATATTTTTCCTCAATACCGATGTGATACGCGCATATGGAAATAAATATCTTTTTTCAAAGACATTAATAATAAAAAACGAATAAAACGGATAAACAAAAAATAAAGAGTATAAAAAGTATCAAAGAAAGAAAGTTATAAAGAAAGAGCAACGGAAGAGAAAAAGAGAAAGGAAAAAAGCGGGAAACGAAAAATAAAAGTAGAAAACAGAATCATAAAGTAAGAAAAAAAATGGAAACAGGAAGAAAAATAGAAAGAAAAATTCCTTCAAGGCAGGAGGAAAAAAAAAGATGAGAAAGATAGGAAACAAACAACATTTTTAAAAAACGAAGGGAAAATATATACGCATAAATATATAAAAAAAATTTAGAGATGAAAAGATACAAGGTAGGAAAAAAGATATAAAATTTGTTCACTTTTTTGTTTAATTATAAAAATATGAATTGAATAAAAGTGAATATATCATTGTAAATTAATAAATTTCATAATATAGCATTTACTGATAATTAACTCCAAACAATAAATATTCTCATATCTTTGAAAAGATTTATAAAACATTTTGATAAAACAATATGGCAGCAAGAATATATTTTTACTATATTCATACAAAAAAATACGCATACACGATACATACATTATATAATTATTTACTTTATTTTATAACCCTATTTATGCCATTTTATATTCATGTGACTAAATAATTTCCGAGAATAAAAATTTTTATTCCTGGATATAAATCGAATAGCGCTGTTAAATAAGATATTGCCAACATAATTTCTCCATAAAATAGAAAACTACGGATACTTACTAGAAAGTAAAGAATTATGACTAAAGGTATATCAATTAACTCGTGAAATTCAAGAAGAGCGCTAAGAAAGAAGATGAGAAATTACATACTTAAATTATCGGTAATGAATGATTAATCCGAGCAAGATAGATAAAAATTTTCAAGTTTAAAAAAGAACCAATTGTTTGATATTTTTAATTGTTCTTTTCTTCTTTTTAGAATAAAAAAAGATTTCAAATCCTAGTTATTAAATGTTTTCAATCCGAACGGTCAAACGGTGTGTGTGTGTGTGTGTGTGTGTGTGTATGGACTTTGTCAATATTCGTTGACAAATATTTGTATGTAAATATTCTCTTGAATAATTGTAACAGCGAAGATAGTCAACAGTGATGGCGTTTAAGAATTGTATAAGAAATCTGAAAAAAACTTGGAATTTTTAAATTATTATTATTTTTTTTGCAAAACTGATTAAATTATATTATTAACGGAAAAAAAGTATTTATTAATTCACGTCGATAAATTATATTAATATCCTACTTTAATATCAATATATTATATTTCAATATGATGTACATATGACAGAGTTGACATGAACTACAAATCCTTTGTTCGTGAAAAATATATGTCACAAATATGCAGTGTGACACTTGAAGCAATATTCGTTAGAGAGACTTTCATCGGCTGGTTTGTTAATTGATATTTAACGTGAATTAATTTGTCTTTTCTGGGTTGGCTTTGAAACGCAATTCTCGCTAATTTGTATAATTATCGCTTTGCAAATGGTAGCCGAGAATGACGAAATTAAAAATTACCAAAAATTTAGAAAAAGCATAAACAACTATAACATTTATATAATATCCGTAGAAATCTTTCTT